ATGAATTTTATGTGCTGCCTGGAATTTAACTGTTAGCATTGAAGATGGAGAAATAAAATCCCATGAATAAAAGTGTCATCCCTACAGGACTGAGATCTCAAATACTGCCACCTGAGTGCCACAGAAGCAACATAAGTTGGGCACAGAGATAAAGGGCAGCTGCTGAGGAAACCAGGCTGTGTGCCTGGGCCCAACGCAGAGCGGTTTTGGTTTTGCAAACAGCCTGGTGAATGGTACATGTCAAATAAAATAAAATTAAAATGTGCACTTCTTTAATTATAGCCCAAGCACCAGGACAACTGTCACAGGAACCCTACCATCTACAGCATGGATTACCACTTAGAAGGTCAGCTTAAGGCAAGTGTGGGACAGGGCTTGAGGCATGAGGAAGCACCCGTAACTGCTGTCAGCAGCACATGTGACCAGTGCCAGAGACACTGGCCACCGTCTAGGAAACCTGCAGGCTGGCTATGGGGTCTGCTCTGCACACTGGGTTCTGCACCAAGCTCTGCTGTCCCAAGATCTTGATGAAGAGGCACAAGTGAGTGGTCAGTGCAGGGACAGCTGAGTGGTGCGCTGTGTGACAGTGCTGACCCACGCTTCAGACGGTAGCCAGTCAGCCCCACTTGCATTTTCCAATGAGCCAGCTTCTAGGAGTTGGGGATGGGATTTGAGGCACAGGGGTGCACCCCTCATGGAGACGCGAACCTGCCACAGAACAGCAGGCTGTGGGTCGCGTTGTGTCTGATGAAGAACAGGAAGGGGTGGTCAGCACAGAACACGGGCAATTCCATTGCACAACACTTTTGAATCATCACAGCTGTGGCCGCCGCGGCCTCTGTGCCCTCCTCGTTGACCTCCACCACACTCCTGTGCACGACCTTGGACAGATACAGCTCACTGTCCACCACCATCCCGGACAGGTCAGCCTTGCCCTCCTGAAAGGCGTCCTCCATGCCCAGGGCCTGCAGCACGGAACCCATGTCATAGTCCTCCTGCAGCTTAAACCTTGGCAGGAAAACTTTCACTTTGGTCCTCTTCATCGGCTCTGGACTGGTCCAGGTTTGCAGTTTCTCAAAAGTGAGGCTCTTTTCAACCTGCAACACAGAATTAGACTTTAGTGGCACCCACTGCTGTCCCTCCAGGGGCACCTGACCTCCTCTGGCGGGCACGTAGTACTGACTACCATAGACTGAGCCCTGCAGGGACCTGGAGGCTTGTGGGGTCTCGGGCTTGTCCTGCACGGGCTGCTCAGATGCCACCAGGTCCAACTTCCTAAGGTGAGGGAGGCGCCCCATCCCCACCACCCCAAACCACATCTGTGCCAGGGGTTGTGCCTCAGGTGTTGGGAGGGGATTAGGGCTCTCTGAATCTTTGGTTTTGTGCACAAGGCTTAGTTTGAAGGGGACAAAGTACTGCTGGTAAGCAAGGACACAGGGCTGTGGTCCTGAGCCACCCCAGGCAGGGGCCTGAGGCTGCAGGGGACTGGGTCTGTCTGCAGGGAAAGCACAGAGTGGGGGCCTCGTGAGGATTCTAGCTAAGCCTGGCTGGACAGGTTCAGGGCCCTGCAGGAAGGAGTCCCGGGAAAGAACCACAAGGAGTGGGAATGAGACAAAGGGAAACTGGACAGAGAAAGACAAGGAGAGCATGCGAGGCAGGGGGGCTTACGCCAGAGGGAAGGCAGATGGCGGAGCCCAGAGACCGGGCACACTGAGCCGGGATGGTGTCCCTGCCACCACACAGGGTGCAGGAGTGGCCAGGTCCACTGCAGGGACAGCTCCCCCCAGGGCTCACGGTAGCACCCACAGTTGTGCATGTGCTCAGCTGTTTTCTTCCCTGCAGAGTCACTGTGATACCACTGCTGACCCACACAAGGCCACCTAACACTAAACTGACTTGTAGAACGCCCCTCCCAAACAAATACAAGTTGCTCCCAGAGACAAGACCCTGCAGGGACAGAGGGCAGAAAGAAGTCACAGGAAGCCCAGGAAGAGGAATGTCAACTTAGGCAGTGGTGCCCACCTAATCCCAGGACACTCCACAGGGCCAAGCAAATTATGACAAGGTCCAGGGGTTGAGGGTCCCAAAACACTATAAAGGGAGCCAGGGAGAAAGGCCCATGGGCATGAAGCTCTGCAGGCACCTGCCCTGTCTGGGGCAGCTCTCTATCTTCAGCCATTTCCACCTGACAAATGAGGTGTCCTCCTGTCCCGAGCTCTGTCCCCAGCTCATCAGTGGTGCTGAGCTTAGCATTCCACGCTGCTGCTCATCTCAGGGTGCTTAGCACTGGACAAACAGGGCAGGACTCTGAGTGACTTTGGGAGAAATGCATCCTAGGCGGGGAGAGGACAGAGGGATGGCCAGGGCTGGACTGTGTGCCCATGTGCCCTGGTGGAAAGGAAACAGGGATGTCACCAGAGGGTTTGGCAGGACAGCAGACACACAGGCCCAGACCCCGTCTCACCGTGCTGAGGTCCACACCTTCATCGGGCAGCACGAGGACCATGCTGAGCTCCTGGCCCACATAGGGCAGCTCCAGCACCTGGGCCCGCACCTCGCTCACTTTGGCCCGGGGAAACTTGCCTGTCTTGCACATCATCTGTACCGGCCGCTGTTCCTTCTGGTGACCAGCAGAGAGGAGTGTGGTCAGTGGTTCCTCCAGTAGTAGCAGGATACCTGCCTGAATCATCTGTGTGAGCAGCCCATGCCAACCTTGGGAATGTGTCTGTGCCTGGGTCACCCATCGAAGCCTCACCGAGCACCTCTCATGGCGTGGAAAGCCATGGAGTATGCAGAGGCAGGAGCAGCCTGGGGAGTGTTCCACCCAGCAAAACAGAATGGGCTGCTATAAATTTTCCACATGATATTTCCTGGCTCTGAGATGCCCCTGGATCCTTCGGAAAAAAATGAACCATTCTATGAAGTGCCTGATAATTTAAAATAGACGATGGGGCAAGGCTAGGTTCTAGAGAGGTAAAGAAAGACTCTTCAGTCCCTGTGTCAAGCAACACTGATGTTTCTTTTTCGTCCCAGGATGAAGATTAGGTATGGAAACTTATCCTAAAAACTAAGGAGGTGCCATTTGTCCTTATTGGAATGGCAGGCTTTGCAGCAACTGTCCCGTGTGGATTACACAAAAGAAAGAGCAGGGGAAAATCTAAAATGTCCATGCACCTGATCCACAGGCGTGCAGCAGCCCCAGGCTCTGTGGAGGGCACAGTGACCCTTGGGGCAGGCATTCCCCAGATGGGGAGCTCTGGGTGCAGCCTAAACCTTAGAAGAGATACTGTGTTGGGCTTTTTGAAGGCTCTCGCTTCAGTTAGACATCTCACATTGAGGTTATGTATTTGTGTCAAAAATAAATCATGTGAGTTGGTTGAGACCATATTGCAATGTTTTGAATAATATTTCCTTCCTCACCTAATTGAGCACCAAAATTATCGGTGATGACTGCATAACTGCATGGTTCGGGGAGACAACACCAGGTCACTGTGTGCACTTGAAAGTTTAAAAGTCCGCTCTCCGTAATCCTCAGGACAAGATCAGTTCTAAGGCAGGCTGCCCCTGAGGTGCTCCTGTCTGCTGCCTCGAATTTGTGTAGGAATCTTGCTGGCTCTCGGTTATTTCCGATTTATTTGTCTGCCTTGCAGACTGTTGTGAAGACTTCAGTTTTTAGGATTGGCTGGCTCAGGTTTTAGGATTGGCTGGCTCTTAAGAATGCTTTCAAAACAGGCATGAGACACAACCTATAAACTCTCTCACAAATGACGTGTGTGTGTGTGTGTGTGTGTGTGTGTGTGTGTGTGGTGTGTCGGTATGTTTTCCAACCTACAAAACTCACATCAGAGCTGCAGAGAAGTAGTATTTATCTCAGAATCACACTTGCAAACACAAGGGTGTCTTTACTATGGTCTTCAGTTTAGACCTTGTATAATTATAGAAGTATATATTTGCGGCTGTTGCAAGAGGAAAATTTTTAATTTCCATCTTGTTTTTAAGAATGAGAGCGTAGATAACCACTTTTTATTCTCTCTCTCTCTCTCTCTCTCTCTCTCTCTCTCTCTCACTCTCTCTCTCTTTGGTACCAAGGACTGAACTCACAACGTTGCACTTGCCAGGAAGGCTGTTGTTCTGAGCTAAATTTCCAGGCCTAGGACTACTTTTTAAATGTGAAAAAAACAATTAAAAAGTAAAATGGACTGTATTGAACACGTATAATCATTTTAAATGTTTTATTTATTTATAATTCATTTCCTGTTTTTTAAGGGATTATATGACTTGACAAATTATCTTAACTCTACTGAAAGTTAAAAATGTCAATCACTTCTCTGCCTTTTGGCTAAGCTCAAGTGAAGTGAAAAATGTCAAACTGGCTGTGCACTCCCATAATCCTAGCACTCAGGAGGCTGAGGCAGGAGGATCATTGTGAGGTTGAGATCAGCCTGGGCCTCAAAGGCCATCCTGAACTATATAGAGAGACACTGTCTCAAAAAGACAAAAAATAAAATAAAAAAGTTTAAAAAAAGAAGTTAAAGAATGTCTGGACCATAGACTTTACCATTTGGTTTTAATATTAGGAATTTGCAAATATGAATTAGTAACTTTTAAATTCACTAACAACGATCCAAATGAATACTCATTTTAATTTTAAAATTACTTGGCCCCGCCCAGTGACCCATACATATCTAACTATCTCTTATCACACTTATTTTATTGCTTCTACTTAGGCAACTTGAACTTAGAGGAAAATCTTCCCACTGAGGTTGCAGTCATGGATGCAGAAGAAATTATCAGACAGGAGGACAGTGGCTTGTGCAAAAAATTATCAGCAGCAAATGTTCTTTACTCCAATCATTTTTTCTCCCTAGTTAAAAATTAATTCTGAAATATTTTGTTTTGAAGACTTTTTAACGACTAATGCCCTTACAGAGTTAAACTTTTCCAAAGTGTTTCTTTATTAATGACTTTGTTTAAAGCTTCTGCATACCTGGTTGATTTTGAAAGGCATTTCCTTTGTGTTCGACTCCCGAAAAAGCTTATCCCATTTTCCTTTAAAGTACACAGCGTTAATGAGAACCAGCTTGTCCCCAGCATGAATGGAGTTCTTTGCCAACAGCTCTGGAATTTTGCCTTTGGAGAAAAGCAAAGCCTACACTCAGTGGCGCCCTTCAAACATGAGATGAACAAACTCCAGGAGAACAACCGGCAGATTTGAACACCACGTTTTCCAATTTGCGAGTAAGTGTCCTTACAGATGGAAAAGTGGGAAGCAGCCCCTAGATGTGGCGTTCATGCATGTGGACACTTGGGGAGCATCCACCTGAATAGGAAGGTGAGGGGCTGCTGAGTCACCCGAGGAGAGCCCAGATGAGAAGGGACAGGCTGGAGACCAGGCCAGGCAGGACATGAGAGATGCATAGGGCGGGCACTGAGGTCCCCTTAGGTGTCCCAGGGACATGTGGCCAAAGGCTCCATGCTGACACCCAGAGCTCACCTTGGGCACTGATGAGGCTGACAGAGGCAGCCAGAGGCTGACAGAGGCAGGTGGCTGATGCCCATGGGAGGGGCTCCTGGGAGCCAGGGGAGGGGGAGCCTGGAGACCTAGCAGCAGGCATCCCCAAGAACGCAATGTGGGCAAGCAGACTAGCTCCTCTGCCTCTGGACCTCCAGGGCTGCCTTCTCCTGAGCTGACAGCATCCTTGCTTATCATTGCTTCCAGAGGGCAAGAGTGGGAACGATTCCAGGAGGACATGGGGGAATAAGTGCTGAGCCTTAAGGGAAAACGGCCTGGCTTTGCTGCTGTCTCCTTTGTGAGCAGAAATAGGAAGGCTAGGAGCAGGTGCAGATGGTTCAGCCCAAAACAGGGAGGATTTGGCTGGAGGAGAGGCGGGGAGAGGGAGCTGCAGAAGGGCCCCTGCCTGCTGACCTTCAGTCTTCTTGGACACCCAGGTGTTGATGTGGTTCCTGGACCTCTCTGGGGCTTTGGCGAAGGACAGCGGCTCCATCTTGGCCTTGTAGAAGTGCAGACAGGACTCCTGAAAGGACTGGGCACAGAGACAGGGCGGGTGAGCCAGGGAGCTGGAGGAAAGGCTGGGGGCTGCCAAGCCTGCTGAGCGCTCCCTGGTTCTCTGAAACCTTGAGAGGGGCTGAGGAGACCTCACTGGTGGTTCTGGGATGTGGGATATCAGTTTCTAGGTGGGGGTGTCCTGAGTCTGGGAAAAACAGATGTGAATGGAGGAGGTCTCGGTCCAGTCTAATGGGGCATCTAGAAGGGAACCCTTCAGGAGGCATCATCATCTCAAGACAGGAGGTTGCCTGTCTGGTCCCCAAGCTCTCTAGGGTCCTTCTGCTGGGTTCGGGGCCACCAGGTATTTTACAGCAACTCTTCCTGTTGGGAGACTCAACTCACAGGCACGAATTCACAGCTCTCTTCTCCAAAGAGCCTGTTGGCGATGCTGAGAGAGTACGGAGCGCCAGGCTTGTGCACCTGGGCGAGAAGCGACTGGAAGCCTCCATGAGGGTCCTCCACTGAGCTCAGCCCCAGCGCCTGGGAAGGAAGTAATGGGCACTGTCAGACTGGTCTTTTGGTCTCACAAAGAAGTTGCCAAAAAAATGCTGTCCCATAAAATGAGCCTTCGAAAGAACCTGCTTTCTTTCTATCTTTTGGAGTCACAATCTTGATATTGACTCAAATCCAGGAGGGTCCTGATGCCTCAGCCTCCGGAGTGCTGGGTATATTTTGAGATTAGTGCACCCGACAGAGCTGTGGCTGGAGGCCGGGAGCATTGGTCAGAGAGGGACAGGACAAATGACAGTCAAATGTGGGGCTCTTCTGCCCCCTCTGGATTCCAGGGGAGGATGGAAGGGCCAGAGAAGCTCAGCTGATGTAAAGCCCTGCATTCCCTGCTGGCCAGGAATACACCAGAAACAGAAAAAAACCTACCTGCAAAATTTGTGTCAACAAAAAGAGATTTGGTTAAAACACTAAACAGGTAAGGAAAATGTGCAGGAATAAAACGATAAAGGGGTCTTAAAAAGACACAAGGGTATAAAAGAAGCAATGTGATTAACAGGACTCAAGCAGTGTTCTTAAAACTGTATGCTAGAGAGATTTTATTACATATATTTTAAGGATCGCTTCAAAATTTTAAAAATCTGTAGTAGGTGATAAGAAAATTCTCAAATGATTGCAAAATACAAACAGAGAATACAGTTCAGCATGCTGTAGTGCACGTGTATCATCCCAGCAATCTGGGAGGCTGAGGCAGGAGGAATGCAAGTTCAAACTCAGTGTGGGAAACTCAGGGACTGAGCATGATGATCTCAAAATAAAAAGGGCTGAGAATGTTACTCAGGGTGAAGACTTTGGGTTCTACCCGGAGTACAAGAAAAAGACATTATACAGAAATGAGGCTCTTACATTCACGTATTCTATTAAAACTACAAATGAAATACCAATGACATGGAAACGTCACTCCTGTGTAACTACTGAAAACACACTTTTTATGCCTGGAAGGGTGGCGGGCACCTCTGATCTCACCACTCTGAAACGTGAGGCAGGAAGATCTAAAGATCAAGTCCAGCCTGGCCACAGGTAACTTAGGAAGACTCTCAAACAACTGTTAAAGGGCTGGAATAAACAATTTTTTTAATGGGGCTGGCTCATTGTGAAGGCCTTATATTCATTTTTTAGAAGTTATAGAAAAACCCTCTTTTCTAAGTAAATACCTGCAGTGTGCAGATCACAGTGCTGCTATATTCTATAAAAGTAACGCTTCTAAGTGCACAAGTATACTTACCCGAATTCCAACATTACACAGTAAACAGGCATAAAAATGTTATTCCACAAACACATGCAGTTCTTACAATTTTACGTAGTAGGTAAAATGTATTTAAAAAATTTTTTAAACCTTGGAAAAAGAGGTTGTGATTTTACCCATCACAATGAAGAAACAAGAAAACTTACAGAGAACTATTTCTGGAAAGAATTAGGTGATCTTTAAAAGAAACTTTCCTAGTAGTCAATAATTTTATTCCTCATGACACTGGCCTATACAGGACAAGATAACAGCTAGAAAAATTCATTTTATAACACAGATTACGGAAAAGAAAATGTCAAAAATTGAATAAAAGGAAACTTAGACGGATTTCACATAGGGTACGGCCTGGCTGTTACTGTGAACAGCTCGCTCCTGACCAGCACTTGCTTTGTGGGAATGGTTCTGCCAGATGCTGGCAAGAATTGGAGAACATTTGCAGAAGTAAGGTCACAGCTCACAATCAAAGCAGCAAATCTCAAACCAAATCAAGTTCGCAGGACTGCAGGAAAATTCTTTCAGTCCTCAGAGGTTTGTCTAGGCAGAACGCGCCCATAGGAAATTTGGCTTCCTCTGCTGGCATCATGCAAGACTTTGACCACACAGCCACACAAATAATCCCCAGGCTGTGCTCAGCTACTCAGTGCCTAGGTGCACTGAGCTGGGCGGAGGGAGCCCACCTGGCTCACACAGCTGCCAGGCAACAGGCAGAGGCCCCAACAGGGTCCTCAGGGAGCTCAGAGCCTGCAGGACCAGCAGATCCACAGAAGGGACTTCCCCTCTGGGCCTCAGGCTCCAATAGTGAGTCAGGGACAGGGGACCAAGAGCTGTCACCACTGAAAGGGTCCTCAAGTTTTGGAGACCACTAGGTAGAGTCCAGAACAGCTTCTAAATGAACCGATTGGCTCTCTGTGTTTCCCTGTGAGTCTGTCCCAGGCCTATGCCCCTTATCTGGAGGTGGCAGCAGATCCATAGTAAGTGACCTCTACGACCACAGCTGAGGATGCCTGGCTCCCACCCCAATTAACTGGAAACTCCACTCCCTCTCACTCCAGTGGTCAAGGGCTCCCAAATTCACATAAGATAGTTCTCCCAAATTGGCATAACTCATTACTTGGAGTAGCCCTTGAGCTGAATCCCCAGGTCCTGCTCGGTTTCCAAAACTTTTAATTCTAAACCCTTCCTTTGTTTGAAAACCAACTAAATATGGATGCTCAGAGTTCTCTGTTGCAGCCCCTGAAACGTGAACTCTGCCAAAGGGCTTTGACCCTCCTGGAGCCCTAAAATCATACCACTTGTCTCTTTGATTTAAGGCTTTGCTGCAGTCCACTCCTATGGAGGCTGCAGTCCACGGAACTCAAGGTAAAGCTGGTCACAGAGACCAGCGACATTGCACAGCATGCTCTGTGCAGGGGCACAGGATGCCAACGCCTGGCCTTAGGGGTCTCCCCTCAGGCGCTTGGCCACTGCCCACGCTGTGAACTCCTCGTAACAGGAACGGGTTCTGTGCCATTTCAGAGGGGACCTGAGCATGCCTCACTAGAGCTTCCAGGATCCCTGCCTGGATCGAGGCCTTCTGTCTGGCCTGGCCTTGTCATGTTCTGTTTGTCACTGCGACCGCAAGGCGCCAGTGAGTGATCGATCACAGCTCTAAAGGCTGGTGCTGCACAAGAGAGACAGATCTCCGCGCCTTCTGATTCAGATCACTCCAGCAGGCCCTCCTTTACCCCTCTGTGGAGCTGGGGATCAAACCCCAGGCAACCCCTTATACCCAGCCACCCCGGCCTCCACTTATTTTCTAAACTCAGTGCCAGGCAAAATCTTGAGTCTTCCTTGAGGTGGTACTTAGTGAAACAGTCTCTGTCCTGCCACCAACACAAAAGACCACAGAGACAAAAAAAAAAAAAAAAAAAAAGGAGCCCCATTCTGGAAAGAGAGTGGGAGATGCCAGCCTACCTGGACCATCTGGGCCGCTGTGCTGCCCTTGGCTCCCAGCAGGACCATGGCCAGGGCCGAGGAGATGCTCACAGGAGAGCAGATCACATTGTGCTCAGGGTTGTCCTGGCCCAGGAGCTTTAGGAGTTGGATTGCAAAGGCACCGTTGGCTTTGGACAGCGCATCCATGCTGCAGCTCTGGAGGGAGGGACAAACGTGTTACAGGCAGCTAAGTTAGAAATATTACAGGCAGTCACACAGGGCTGGGCCCTCGAAGAAGCCAGCACAGAAGACCAGAAGTCCAGGGACCTTGGAGGAAACACACATCTCTTGCTGTGGGCCAGATCTCAAAATAGAGGCCAAAACAAATGCGACCACAGTTTAAAAATAATCCTTCGGGACTAAGTATGGATCACCTTGAGCAGCCAGGAGTCGCCGACCCAGCCCTATAGGAAGGGTCACTGCTGTGTGAAGAACCCTGGCTTGCTACCTGCCTGCTCCCCCATTGGCCCTGAGTAGGTCAATTTTACCTGCACAACCAAACTTATTCCTGACCCCAGAACATGCCTCGCTTATTCTCACATGTGTGTCTGAGAGTCACTGGGTGATTTCTGATGGACACCAGGCTGCGAATACACAGGAGCTGCTGCCAGAGGCAGCTGTGTCAGCTGCTATGAGGCCAGTGCCTTCACTACAGGGAGGGGTCAGGGACCAGGGCCAGCAGAGGGCGCCAGGCTGCTGTGTCTCCTGCCCTGCAGCCTGAGGAGCCTAGGGTGGGCTGCCAGCCTGGCTGACCTCTCTGCTCAGCCTGCATCCTGTTCAGAGTTCCACCTCCATCCTGCCCTGCTCCGGAAGTCACGTGGCCGAAACCCTGGACTGGGAGAGGACCCTGCGCCCTGTTCTCCTGCTTGCTTTCTCTGTCCCAATCAACCGCACTTTCCCTAAGGACCTGTAGGGTCCTCTCCTCCCTGGTCCCAGCTCACATGCTGGACCTCCCTGACCCCTCTCATCTGCCCTCCCCGCCTTTCCGGAGACCCCTCTTCTGCCCAGGACCCTCCAGCTCTTGCCACCACCCACTGGAGACCGCGACTGCTCTACTCCACACTGGCTTCTCTACAGAGTCCCTGCTGTCCCTCTACCATGGTCCCTTCTGTCACCTGCCTGTCCTCACCACCATGCAAATCAAACACAGCTCCCCACACCCCACTTTTAATTGGTGCTGACCTGTGCTCCTTCCCTGCTCTGCAGCCACCTGTGCCCATCACGGTCCCCTTCACAGTGGGCTGTGGGCCCCGTGGACACTCTTTCCACTAAGAAGGTCCCTGCGCCCTGGTCTCCCCCAGCATCTCAGGGCAGCTGAGATGGCTTCCCCTCCTACCTCCTAGCCACAGCCACCCTCACTGATGTGATGCAGCCCAAGTCAGTGACCTGGGGCCAACCTGGATGCTGTGGGGGGCAAGGACTGGGTCCCTCACAGGCCAAGGCTTCAGGACAGAGAAGGCTTTCATCTCCTGGGGTGAGTGGCAGGGATTCCAAGATACTCGGGGGCACTGCATGTGCCCAGGGGCCAGGATTGCACAAGAAGGAAGAGGACCTGGGCGGGGCTGATGCAGGGGACCCTCCACAAGTTAGGCGCGGGCGGGGCCGGGATGGTTCCAAGCCAGGAGCCCTGTCTGTCCCCTCCAGTCCAGGAGCTGTGTCTGCAGAACCAGCGGGCCTGGCTGCCCGGGTCTCTGCTCAGTCCCCAGGGTCTGAGCCAGGTCTGTCCCCAGCTCTGCCCAGCCCGGCCTCGCCTTCCCACCTGGCTTTGT